ATGGTTTAGGTAATGCTAGGCTTCCTTCAATAATCAAAAGCTCAAACCTTGGCCTCTTCTAATATTTATTCCAAAACCTAACAAAAAAAACAAAAAACTTCTTAATCTTCCGACACCGAATTGAAGCTTAAACCTTGTTCACTTGGGCCATTTTCCCCACTATCCCCTATGCGATTAGTCGGTACCTCAAGTGCCACCATTTTGAATGGGCCAATTCTGTGTGAATCTGCATTTATGATAGGCCACGTCGAAAGAGTTGAATGAATGAAATAAAAAAAGGTCGATGTGTGCACATTGATATCGCGTCCGTCGCTCTGCGACCACACTACTTCATCAAAGGCTTTCGTCTTTTGTTGTTGATCTGGTAATTAGAGGAAATCTCCGGACAATAGCGGTGTCGTTGAAGACCTTTCGGTGTTACCTTAGCGACACACCCTTTATGTCCTCGGTCGGCTTTTAATCTGCTTAAAATTAAACGAATCTAACTTTCGTAGTGATTCTGATCCCTTAATTAGCTGGAAATAGTGCAATAAAAAAGCGGGTTTTATGCCAACACTAAGCAGGCCTGGATTTCGGGGGAATAACCTCCGGATTATCAAGATTACGCCGACTTTGGGCCGTAAAAGGGTGACCAACTTGGGAATTTTGACGCAAATGACAGTTTCGGTCATCGACCCCACTACCAACTTAAAAAAATAGCGCACCAAATCCTCTATTTTTAAATAGATTTAAATATTATAATCTTTAGTCTAATTACACGCAATGTCTTTGTTAAATATTTGATAAAACTCCTCCCTGTGTTAGAATTATAAATTGCAACAACTTCCTGTACTAATTATGGTGAATAATTGAATAATAATCTCATTATCCCCGATCAATCATTACGCTTTTAATGTGAAGAATCAATAATGACTTGCTCACATTGGATGAAATTCCCGCATCTCCCCTACTAACGCGTCATTATCGGCTCGTGAGATTCAAAGGGTACAAAAGGTCGGGTCTTTAGTATATATGAAAAAATCGCTGTTTTAGTTCCAGTGGCGGCGTCAGCGATCGTAAATGAGTGGTGAACAAAGAAAGGGAATGAAAGAAACGAGATAAAATCGTCCGCGTAAATAACACTTTTAATGGACGCTGTAAATCTGATGGTGTTTTCATCGGAGGCCACTTTTACGATTCACATATTCGGTTTTTAGTATCAATTTTATGTAGCAGGGTTGTGTGCGAAAAAATAAGGCGGGTTTTGTGCGTTTGTGATGAAAAACTGCGAACAGGCCATTTTTGCTGATTTGAGAAAAGAAAGATTAGTTTTTGGTATTTTAGTGTCCAATTGTCGCTTCAACTATTTGAACTAAAATATTTTTTTTTATCTCAATGACATCTAATTCGAAATAAACCAAAAAATTGTAGGTAATTAGGCAGAAAAATCGCTCTTCAAATTTATTAATTAATTTTTTTGATTTTTTTTTTAATTATGCAGAGAAGAAGAAAGTAGGTATTTACCTTCTAAAATGCTACTTCTAATTCATACCTACTTTATTTAAATTAATA